ATCCTTCACTTCCCATGGGATTTCCATGAATTCATGTGACAAAGCCACCAACTCCCATTTCATCAGGCTGGAGCTGGAGACCAGGGCTTAATCCAGATACTTGGGACCTCGGTTTTCCTTGGAGYAGCCCATCCTGCATCCAGAGGATCACTCCCAACCTCAACAGTTCCAGATTTGTGTAAAAATGACCTAAAATTGATTCATTTGGAAGCTCAACCAGGGCTTGTTCCCCTCATGGGTGGTGGACCCATAACTCCCAACAAAAGTGCTACAAACAGGATTTGAATCAGTGCTTTTTAATCCATAAAAGGTGAGAATCCATGTACAAATTTAAAAGAAAAAAAAACAAAACAAACCCAACATAAAACTCTGGAATTAGGGAAATTATCTCAATCCCACAAGACACAACCCCTTCACCAACGCCGGGGTTGGGCAATGCGGGTGGAATGCGACGGCTTCTCCTAAATAAATCCCTCTCCAGCTCGCAGACATCCGCGGTGCCATCCCACTTTTGGGATGGTGGGAAGATGCTSCTGGGATGTTTTAAGGGCAAGGTGGCCTTTTTGGTGACCCCACCCCCTCCTTTCCTTCCCGCTCCCACGCYGAGCAGCCGGGAGGATGACGTGGCAAGTCTGGCTGTGCCAGATGGCCCCGTGCTGGAAGGCGGATCCGGAATCTGGGGTGATGATGCCTCAGGCTGTGGAGAGGCCTCYTGGCCAACAACAGAGCTAAAACCCCTGCTCCTTCAGCTTATAAAATTCCAGGATGGTTTGGCTTGGAAAGGATCTTAAAGCCCATCCCGTTTCACCCTCTGCCATGGGAGACCTTCCACTATCCCAGGTTGYTCCAACCCCGTCCAACCTGRCCTTGCTCCTGGAARTTTTCCTTAAATAAAATCAGGGTGAAGAACTTGGCAAGTGGACGAGGAGCCACCTAGAAAAAGTCCCAACCCAAGGGGGGTGCTGTCATGATCCACTGCTCCTTTAAACCACCCCTAAAAATTCCTTTAAAAGTACAAAAATACAATCCCATCTCTCCCAAGGGAATTTTATGTCTCCCAAGATCATCCAAGCAGTGAAGACCAGACCTGAGACTTCACAAAAAATAATGCACCAGGMAGAAACGGGATGGAGGAAATTTTGCCAATCTATTTTGTGGAACGGAGTCTCCCAGCATTTCCAGGACAATTGCTGAGGTGCCTGGATCCATCAGGCCAGCCTAGGAATGCTGACAGCAGTGTTAGGGAATTAGCAACGTGTGCAAGATCCAATAGTAGCACAAATTTAGGAGTTTAATAATCTGGAAGAGCTATCTTCCTGGAATTTTAATCTCCTCCCAGGAAAAAAAAAAAAAAAAAAAAACCCCAAAGCTCTTAGCTATTAATCTCCTCACGGAATATTTAGGGCAATCCACCTCTCCTGATTAAAAAAGCCAGACAACAACTGCACGTTAAGTCCTTCCCTTTTCTTCCGAAGAATCCAGCTTGGCAGCTGGGCAGGATTTGCTGAGCCAAGCTGGGGGGTCATTCCCCCAAAAAAAMCACCCCAAAAGCACTAAAAATGGTCAAACCATCCTAATTTGAACCCATTTCATCAGGACATCCCCAACTGGGAGATCCTGCCTGGGTTGGACCCCATGATGGGATCACCACAAGTCATCCATGCCCACGCTGTCCCCTCTCCCAAAAAAAGGGCAGTTGGGAAGGATTCAGCTGAAGGATTAAGCTCCTCCAGCAGCTCTTGGAAAGCAGTGGCAGCAGTGCCACCTTGTACCTCGCAGAGAAAGCCCAGGAGATGCTACAGAAGGTGACACTTTTGCTTTAATGGCTGGGGCTGGCTTTGGCCACAAACCAGGCCCTGCTTCWGCACAGCTCCCCCCGACCCCCCTCAAGAACAACAACAAAAAAAAAATCTCAAAATCAACAATAAACCCGAGTTTCCCCCAGATTGAAGGGATCGTTGGATGCAGGAGCTGGGAGACKGAGGTGCCTTGCTCACCTCTCGGCGCGGATCCGACCAGCGGCGCATTCCCTGGGCTGGGAGTCCTCGCAGCCCGAGCCAGGCTTGGGAAGCTTCCCGGGCAGCCAGCCCTGGAGCTCAGGGGACAATAAAGAGCGTGCTCAGTACATGGCCTCATTGTCCCCCACAGCAGTGAAKGGGACCCCGCTGTAGGTGCTCTTCTTGCTCCTCTTGCTCTTCTTGCTCCACACCAGCAGCGTGCTGGCGCTCTTGCTGTTCATSAGGCTCTTCCTGCTGTTCTCCTTGTTGCTTTTCAGCATCCCGGATCCTGAGGACATCACTGCCACCTTCCTGTCCACCTGGGTGGGAAAGGAGGAGAGTGAAGCCCGGGTGGTACCCAGAGCTCAAAGGAATTCTGTGGTTTCCCATGGGATGTGACTCACGGTTTTGGGACATTCTGAGCCCTGCAGGGTGATGACCCCGATGTCCACCCCCTCCTTCCCGGTGCTCTTCAGMAGCTGCACAACCTCAGCGTGCTTGGACCACTTGCAGTCCTTGCCGTTCACRGAGATGATGTAGTCTCCCTCCTTCAGCCCGGCTTCCTGCAGGGAATGAGGGAAAATGTGCTTGGATCATCACAGAATCACAGAATGGYTTGGAAGGGATCTTCAAGATCATCCAGTTCCACCAGGGACACTTTCCCCTATCCCAGGTTGCTCCAAGCCYTGGACTTGACTGATTGCAGGGATGAGGCAGCCACAGTTTCTCTGGGATTTCTATTCCAGGGTGTCCCCACCCTCCCAGAGAAGAATTTCTTCCCAATATCCCCTCTAACCCTGCCCTCTGACAGTGGGAAGACATTCCCTGTGTCCTGTGACTCCATCCTTTGTCTAAAGGTCTTGAAATGGTCCCAAGCAGAGCCAAGAGTGGTGGCTAGAGGTCAGGGGGCATCACTGTACCCTCTTATCATGGAGCCATGGAATGGTTTGGGTGGGAAGGGACCTTAAGGATCATCTCATTCCAACCCCCAACCATGGGCAGGGACGCCTTCCACTATCCCAGTTTGCTCCAAGTCTCATCCAATGTGTCCTTCAATTCTTCCAGGAATGGGGCAGCCACAGATTCTCAGGGAAATCTGTGCCAGGGCCTCCCCGCCCTCYGAGGGAAGAATTCCTTCCCAATATCCAATCTAACCCTGCTTCTGGCAGTGGGGAGCCATTCCCTGTGTCCTGTCCCTCTACCCCTTGTCCCCAGTCCCTCTCCAGCTCTCCTGGAGCCCCTTTAGACACTAGAAGGGGCTCTGAGGTCTCCCTGGAGCCTTCCCTTCYCCAGGCTGAGGAGAGGACACAACYCTGCTCCAGATACGGACCAATCTGCCCTATATCCCAATCTTTGGGAAAATTTAATCTTCCAAAGAGGGATGTGATCCTGCTGCTGAGGAAAACATTGTTCCAGAGATTCTGGGATCCGGAGGGATGGGCTGATACTGAGGGAGGGGGGACACCTTTTGGGCATCCCACCAGAATTCTCCAGCATCTTCTGCTRAAAAAYRAAATCACCCCTGTTTTTGGATGTGCCATCCTGTTCCATCCACTGTCACATCCCAAAACAAGGGATGAGAGTTGGGTGGGCTGCCAATAGTTAAAAACTGAGCAAAATTCCATGTTTTTTTCCTTAGCTAATCTCCTAAAAATTAATCATTCCATGACGCCCACCTGCAAACCCCAGGCTGTGCTCCAGCAGGGATGAATCTCCCCCTGTGCAGTTTGAAGACCTAAAAACACCAGAAATCCCTGGAGGCAGCTCCCTTCCAGCATTCCCATGGGAATAGCAAGGAACTGAGATACTCACAGCAGCGCAGCCCCCCGGGATGACCCCGGCAATGAGGACGGGGGAGTCTCCTCGCAGGGTGAACCCGAAACCGTTCTCTCCCCTCATCAGGTGCACTCTCCGGGCTGGGTACCACTTGTTCTTGGCTGAGAACACGGAGAGGGGGCCCTGGGATCAGGGAGAAACATGGGAAKCACCTTTTCAACTCCCTGGAATTGTGTAGCCGTGTAAAAAACCCCAATTCCAGGGATGGGAGGGGGCAGGGATTTTGTTTCCTGTCTTTTGCAGGAAAAACAATCCCATCATCCAAAGAGGGATGATGGGGATCAAGTCTGTCTGGATCTGGGGGATGCAACCAGGAACAAGGTGGTGGTCAGGTMACCACCTCAGGGTCATTTCCTCCTACTTCTTTTCTATTTTCCTGACTTTTTCCTACTTTTCCATTCCCACAGGAGCAGGAAATTCCTGCCTGCCCTGGGCTTGAGATGCACAAGCTCTCCAAGGGGTGCCCAGGGAATGATCCCAACCACAAATCCCACCACATTCCCGAACCCCAGTCATGCTCCCCAGCACACGAAAACCTAAAGAAGGCAGGGAAGGGATAAAGCTCCAGTGGGATTTTCCTCATGCCACCAAAACCCTTCCTTTCAAGGGTCCCTCGGGAAAAGCCCACCCAAAATTCCTGTGCCTGCTCCCCTGCCACCGGAGGAGCTTTGTGACCCATTTAGGTGTCACAGAGACAGATCCTGCTGCTCCTCCCTGGAAAACCACCGGAGAGAGGGAGAAGAGCTGCAGGAGGAAGGAATCCAGGCAAGCAGAGCATGCAGGGGAGGAGGAGGAGACGGCTGATCCCTCGGGATATTCCCATTCCCGGCGCCGTACGTACCAGCCTGTGGAAGAGGTCGGTCACCTTCACCTGGGAGAAGTTRGGGGATTTGATTTCGGGTTTCTGGTGTGTTTTGGCTGAAGGGAGGGAGAGCAAAGCACAAACAGGGGGTGAGCTCGGGCAGTTGGGGCAGCTGCTGCCATCCCAAAGAGGGACACTGTGACCCCGTAAGAGCCAGGACCTAAAATCCTGGAACAGTTTGGACTGGGAGAACTTAGGAATCATCCAGTTCCAACCCCCCTCCACAGCAGAACTCCCTGTGGAGTTTTCCCACCCACAAACCCCCTGCCCACCCACAATCCCCCCAAAAAAACCCCACTCACGATGGATATCTGGAGCCTCTCCYGTCTCAAAGAAATCCTCCTCGTGGTCGATCTCGGAATACTTGCTCAGGGAGCGCTTGTGGGCAAAGGACAGGACCTCCTGCAGGATATCCATCTTCCTTAGGATCTTGCACAGTCCATGGATCCTCATGGCTTCCTCGTGCTTCATGATGGCTTTTTTGAGATGAGCTTTGCCTGTGAGGGAGCAGAGGGAGCTGAGCCCGACGGAGCGGCAGCTCCGGCGCCGTTCCCGCTCGGCTGCCCACGGATTTCAGGAGCGGTGCCACCACCCCGCTGTGACTCAGGGACAGCCCAGTCACGTTCCCAGCCCTAAATGGGGTCGGTCCCAGCTGATGGAGGGCTGGGAAGGGACCTTGAAGAGTGACCTACTTCGTTCCCCCGGCGCCGGAGCTGGCAGATGTTCCTGAAAAACCACCCCCGACGTCCCTCTTCACGCTTAACCTCAATCTCCCGAGCAAATTAACTTCCCTCCATCGCCTCGGATCCCTCGGGAATGGGAACAGGGAGAACGACCCAGCCCCGTCCTCCTTGGGAAGGTGCAGCCCATCCCTGTTTTCTAGGCTAAGCCTTTTCCTTGTCCTGCAGGTCCTGCTCTCCACCCTCTGCCCTTTGCTCCTGTCCGCTTGCCTTCGACGTGTTCCCACAATCGGGAAATGGAAGTTTTTGGGAGAAAGGAGCTGAAATTCCAGTGACCCACGGATATCAATGCAAGCATCTCCACGGGAAGCTGCAACCAAGGCAGCCGTATCCAAGGCTAAACTCCCAAAAAAAGCTCTCTCCRTGTGTCTCATGGAAATACACGTGGCATTTCACGTTCACAACACACGGTGGCAACAGAATCCAAGGAGATGAGCTTTGCTCCAGACCCCCGGAATCCACAATCAGAAGAACRCAGAGCTGAGGGAATGTTTTGGGGTTGGGTGGAAAACAAAGGAAGAGACTTCTCCCCTCCTCAAATTTTTAGCAAATCCATAAACTGAAATTTTTATCAAATCTGTAAACTGTGAAATGGGGAATAATAATAATAAAAATAATAGGTTCACGGAATGGTTTAGGTTGGAAAAGATCTTAAAAATCATCTCATTCCAACCCCCTTCCAGAGGCAGGGACACCTTCCACTATCCTAGGTTGCTYCAAGCCCTGTCTCACCTGGTCTCGGACACTTCCAAGGGAATCTACAACCTCTCTGGGTTTTTTTCCTTTCCCATAAACCAAATCCAAGCTGAGCTTGGTGTCTGCATATCCATTTTTCACCAGGAACGTTAAACAGAGCCCATTCCCCCCAGGAAAATCAGACAGAGCTGGAAAAGTTGATGCAAACCAGCTGACAACAGCTGAGGGTGTTGGGGTGGTGTCACCATAAAACCCTTGGATTTTGGGACTTCTCTGGAAGTTTCCACTTCCCATCCCCAGCAGTGAATCCGGCTGACTGCCCTGAAAAATTTTGCTGAGACCAAAMTYCTTGYTGGTGGGATCTGCCTCYCTCCCCATGTGTRCAAGGAGRGAAAARAGCTCCTGGGGGAGGCAACACCCCRAATTCTGAGTGCTGAGTTTGCTTTCGATGCAGCCCCAACTTCAGCTGAATAAGCAGCGTCTGTTCTTTCCCTGGAGCTGAAATTTCGCCTGGGAAGAAGTTCTTGTTTCCCAAGAATTTGCTGCAGCTCAAAAAGCCACCCCCTGAGCATCTGCTGCGTCCTGTTTTCGAGCCAAGTCAGCCCAAAGCAAAGAGCTTCCAGGATCTCTGTGTCCCTACGGATTTCTCCGTAGCGTCGGGTGATGTTACCCAGCTGGGAACACCTGGAATTTTTCCTGTCAAACATGGATGGACAGGTTGAGACAAGCATCACGAGCTGGTCCTCACACCCTAAAGGGGACTCTGACGCTTTCCTGTTTCCCAGGAGAAGAAATTTCCTGAGAAATTCCTCTTTGCATGGAGGCATCCCCCTAAAATCTCATCGTTTGTGGGAATTGTGATGGGACCCAGAAATTCATGCTCACCCAGCTTCCTCCTTTCCTCGGGATCCTGCAGCAGGACACGGAGTGAGGGCCCCTCTGGCATGGTGATGTGGAATTGCAGGAAAGCCTTCTCTTGCTCYAGCAGCTCAGCATCTGAGGGAACTGTGGGCAACAAAAGGATGGAGATGGGATTAGGGAGAGGTCAGGGCCACCCAAACTCCTGTGGCAGGGGGGACAAAGGGACTGGGAAGCCACATCCACATCCAGGTGGCCCTGGCAGCACCTTCCTGACATCCAACTACAGCCTGCAAGGAAGTCAGGGATGGGCACAGGGATGATCCCAGTCAGGGCTGCACCAGGTTCTGAAGTTGAGGGCCTCCCTCCTTCCTTTGCTCCAGTCTGGAAGCAGGAGTGGGAAGAGGAAGCCCTGGATTTTCTCCACCCAGAGGTCACTGACATRGAGGCAAATGAGACAACAAATTCAGGGAATCATGGAATGGTCTGGGTTGGATGAGATCTTCAAGACCCTCTGGTTCCAACCCCTTTCCATGGGCAGGGACACTTCCACTTGGCTCCAAGCCYCATCSATCCTGGTCTTGGACACTTCCAGGGATCCAGGGGCAGCCACAAATTCTCTCGGAATTCTATTCCAGCAACTCACCACCCTCACAGSAAGGAATTCCTTCCCAATATCCCATCTAAYTCTGCCCTCTGGCAGTGGGAAGCCATTCCTTGTGTCCTGTCCCTCCATCCCTTGTCCCAGTCCCTCTCCAGCTTTCCTGGAACCCCTTTAGGCACTGGAAGGGGGCACTGGAGCCTTTTCTCCAACCCACAGTGCAGCCAAGGGGATCATTCCATGGAAAACCAGAGATGGATACATCTCTCCCATGCTCTCCAAACCCCACACTGAGCCCTTTAAACCCTTTCTCCCAGCCCAAGATGTTCCCAATCCTCTTTGGTTCACTCAGAATTGCATGGCAGCCTCTTTTCCTGGACACAGAGTGGGACAAGAAACAACCCAGAAGATTCCAGGGTGTTTTGTTGCTCCAAACAGATCCCTGGYGAGCAGAGGGATCCAGAGAGCTGGGAACTGGCAGCTCCAGGGCTGGCTCTCCCTGTGCCAGCTCTTGCCACGTCAGCATCCCTGAGGGATCAAACTGCAGCATAAGGAATTTATTCCCAACTGGTTATGGAAGCAAAAGATTTGTTATTCTGACAAGGGATTCAGGGAGAGGTGGGAGAAGGAATGTGAGATCCCAAAAAATGCCTGAATTTAGCATCTCCTGCTGATTTCTGCTTCCCTCRGTGCCTAAGGACACCAAAAATTTTAGGGAAAAGCTTTGCCCTGCCCCTTGGAACTCCACAGAATCCYTTCCCCACCATCATCCTCTCCTGTTTGGTTCTTTAAACCATTCCAGCTCCACAATATCCCACTCTCTCCCATCTCTGCTCAATCCTGCTTCTGCAACACCCACCCGGCACAGGCAGGAATTCGGGCAGGCTCTGGAGTGGGGGAGGGTGTGAGGACAGTCTGGCAGCCACCCATATCCCTGGCACAGCACTGCCTTGGGCAGCCAAAGCCCTCAAAAAGCCTCCTCAGCCACCCACCAGGTGGCACCAAAGGTYACCAGGTGGCACCAMAGGTCACCAGGAGCATMTGCTGCCCACCCCCGCATCCTCTGCTCCATCCCAAAATTGCTCCTGGGTGTTGGTGGTGACATAGATGGAGACCAAGGGTCACATCTTGAAATCACACTCTGAGTGACCCCAGGGAACCGTGTGTACCTTGCTGCCAGCACCCCGAGATTCCCAGAACATCCATCCATGAGGCTGGAAGTTGAGTCCAAGGGATTTTTGGATTTATTTTTGATTTTTGAAGCCTCCAGCTGGCCTAACATGAGGTGAGCTGAAGGATGTTGGGCTGAGGACATTGGCAGGAGGTCAGCTGGCAAGTGACCCCTATTTGCCCACCCAGCCCCAAAGGGGACAGCAGGTGACATCCCTCCAGCAGCTTTTTCCACCCCTTCTTAGGACTTTTCCCTGTGAAAACCAGAAATATGGGAAAATCTGCCTTGGGGATGAATCGCTGAGTCCATCACCAAGATCTACCGCTCATAGCATTCCAAAAACTTCAGGTGTTGTAACCCTCACCTCTTTTTTTGGGAATCCCACCCCAAAACCCAGGAAACACATGGAATTAGCACTTGGATGAGAAGGAAGCTCCCTCCAGGTTGGACACTTACCGGGGCAGTCACACAGGGCAATGGCAGCGAAATAGTGGGAGAGGGCTTTGAAATGCTCTGACTTGACGTGGACCATGGTGGTCCAGGAGAAGGGAACRTAATCCTTGACGTGGGGCTGGCTCATSGTCTGGTGCACSAGGGAATAAACATCTTCCACCTGGRAAGAGAKAWGAGCTGAGATGTGGGATGTCCCTCAGGAGATGTTGACAACAGATTGTGGTCTCCTGGAAGGTTCTGCTGACCATAAAATCCCACCTAATCCCTTCCTTCCCAAAATTCTCACCCTTGCTGCCTCCTGAGCCAGCTGCAGCCGGGCCAGGAAGTCGTTCTGGGCACGCAGTAAAGTCATCTTCTCAAAGACACATTCCTGGACCTGGGCCACCATCAGCCTCACCAGCATGGTCAGCGAGGCGGCGCTCATGTCCAGGCTGGGAGCATTGGAGAAGTTTTCCTTCAAGTAGTTAAAGGCACCTGGAGGAGGGAAAAGCTCTTGGAAGTTACCAGGCTTGTGAGGAGGAGGATCAGACTTTGGGATCGCACAGGTTCTCCCCCTCCAAGGACATCAAACATCTCACCACCAATGGTGGGTAAGGTCAGGGGTCCAACCCTTGTCATCCAAACAACCCTTGTGCTTTTTGAAAAGCCCTGGGTGATCCTAGCTCCAGGCTCCTTTTTTTCCATGGGGATATGGATCAGCATTCTCTCCTCTCCCCAGCTGGGACATCCCTTGGGGTGGCCTTGGGATCATCCCAATTCCTCTTCCTCCACAGAACCAGCGTGGAGCCACCTCATGGTCCATTTGCAGCCCTTCAGAGATGCCTCTTCCTACAACTGCTCCCACCCCTTCCTGCACTCCAGAGGGTTATTCCCACCTTTGGAAAAAGCTTCCTGGGAAGAGGAGGAAGGGGGGAACCCACGTACCAGCTGCCTTCTGGAAGGCATCGATGGCCTGGTTGAGGCCAGGCAGGGAAGCGCGGTCCTGCCGTGCTCCGATCTGGGTGTGCAGTGCTCCAAGGTTGAAGAGGACGCTGCCCTTCTCGAAGGCCAGAGCTCTCTGGTGGGATGGGACCCCCGTCAGGGAGTCGTACCTGGAGAAGGGAAGAGCCATCAGCTGCTCATCCTCWGGTCGTGATCCCCAAAGTGTCCCTGTCATGGTCCCCAAAGTGTCCCTGTCCACAGGAGGTGGGATTGGAACTGGACGATCTTGAAGGTCCTTTCCAACCTAAACTCYCTCATGAACCCCATGGATGCAGGAGGAGCCTGAAGGGTTTTCAGYGCTCAGCCACCATTCCCATCATGGCTCATGTCATGGGATTTGTGTTTCCCCCTCCCTCCCCAAATTAACCCCGCTGAGGCAACAGCAAATCCAGATCCTGGTGTCCATGAGCCCCGGTGGCAATTCCACCGTGGAAATTTGAATCCAAACTCCCTCCCCAGCCAGGTGGGATGAGGAAAGCTGCGCTCACCAGTGGAAGAAGACACCCAAGGTTTTGGTGGGAGGGAAGAAGCGGCTGTCGAGGAAGTAGAGCTGGTTGTAATATTCCATCAGCAGCTCCAATCCGGCCTCGTTGCGGCTYGGGGTGCGCATGGCCTGCGGGGATGGGACGGGAGACAGGGATGGAAAAAGAGGAGGAAACCCCAGGGGATGGGTTCAGAGCCCTCAAAGAATGACAGAGAGCTGGGAATGTCCAGCCTGGAGAAGGGGAGGCTCCAGGGAGAACTCAGAGCCTCTTTCAGTGCCTAAAGGGGCTCCAAAAGAGCTGGGGAGGGACTTGAGACAAAAGTATRGAGGGACAGGACACAGGGAATGGCTTTAAACTGGAATAGGGTTAAGATTAGATGGGATATTGGGAAGGAATTCTTGGCWKTKAAGGTGGTGAGGGGCTGGAATGGAATTCCCAGAGAAGCTGTGGCAGCCCCATCCCTGGAAGTGTCCCAGGCCAGGCTGGATGGGGCTTGGAGCAACCTGGGATAGGGGAAAGTGGGCAACCTGCCTATGAAAAGGGGTTGGAATTCCATGATCTTTAAGAGCCTTTCCAACCCAAACCACTCCATGATTAAGGCTTAGCCATGGGGAAAAGTTTGGGTGCTGCAACACCCAAATCTGGAAGAAGCAGCCTGGGAGTCATGCTGGAAAAACTCATGGGAATTCTAATTATATAAATGCTAGGGAAGATATCCGATTTTTTTTTTTCATCCTTTCACAGATTTCTTTGTATTTCCTCTTCTCCAAGGCMTACCCGGAGAGAGTCCCTAATATTTTGGAACCCACAAACCAAGGCCAAGGTGCTCCAGGAAAGGGAATTCTACTCCCTGAAATACAGAATAAATGTGGATTTTGCAGAGAGGATGAATGGTCCTCCCAGAGGAAAATGCAGCACCTCCAAGGAGTGATCCTGGACAAGCCAAACTTTGGAATCCAAGGGACACCAACCTGCCGCAGCTCCATKAATTCCTTGATTTCTTTTTCAAACAGGACACCCTCCTCTCCATAGTGCTCACTGATGAAATCCTGGATGGGGAAACGAGAAAATCACAATTTTTAAGATTTAAAGGATGACTTTGAGCAATTCTGCTTAAGGAATTTACCACTTCCACCCACAAGGAATMATCTCCCTTTCCTGCTCTCCAGCATCTCCAGACCCTCATGTCCCACTTTCCCATGTCTTAAATCCAGTTCTTCTACATGAATTTATTTTTTAGCAGCTGTTCCAAGCTGGAAAATTAATTTCAACTCTTTCAGCACCAATGATGGATGCTCACCTTGAGTGGCACCAGCAAATCCAGCTCCTTGGTCTCCTTGAGTCCCAGAGGGATCATGGGAACGCTGATGGATTCGCTGGGAGAAGACAAGAACAGGTTTGGTGGTTGGATTAAAAATCTCGGGTGGATCATGTGGGCTGGAAATTTAAAGGAAGCAGCTCTTTGCTCTGGGCTTGTGCAGCTCCCGTGAAGAGGCAACATATGGAAAAATGCTCTTCCCAAAAAGATTTAGGAATGGTGGCACAAAGGAGAGGTGCAAAGAAAACCTGAAATCATCACTCTTATTTCTTCAGCTCCTGCTTTTCAGAGGAATCTTGGATGTTGGGTGGGCCAGGCAGGATCCAGCCCTCACCAACACAACAGCACCACTCATTACCCCCCAAAACCACTGATAACYCCTTAATTAATCATTAATTGGTGAGGAAAAGAGACAAAGGAATTTAGGAAAACCAGAAGAGCAGAGCAGGAAATTTGTACCCACATTTGCCTCGGAACAAACAGCTCCGGGAGCTATAATTAGTGCAGAAAGCCRTTACTGCTCATTCCCTAACGAGAATTCCACTGGAATCCAATGACTGGAATAAACAAAGGGAGTTTTGTTTGGACTGGGTAGGGTTTGGGGTTGTTATTGYTGCTTCTGATTTCTTTTTAAACCAGGGCAAGCAAGTGGCAAATTGGGAAAACTGAGCAACCCTGACAGGGAATGTGCCTGGAAAAGCACGTGGATGGACACGGAAAYGTGGAATTGTGGAATGGTTTGGGTTGGMAGGAGCTTTCAATCATGGAATTCCAACCCCCTGCCATGGGCAAGGGACATCTTCCACTATCCCAGGTTGCTCCAAACCCYGTCCAACCTGGCCTTGGACACTTCCAGGGATGGGGCTGCCACAGATTCTCTGGGAATTCCATTCCAGGGCCATACCACCTTCCTAAGGAAGAATTCCTTCCCAATATCCCATCTAATCTTACCCTATTCCAGTTTAAGGCCATTCCCTGTGCYCTGTCCCTCCATCCCTTGCCCCCAGTCCCTCTTCCACTCTCCTGGAGCCCCTTTAGGCTCTGGAAGGGGCTCTGAGGTCTCCCTGGAGCCTTCCCTTCTCCAGGCTGGACATTCCCAGCTCTCCCAGGCTGTCTCCAGAGCAGAGGAGCTCCATCCCTTGGAGCATCTCCATGGCCTCCTCTGCACTTTCTCCAACATCTCCACGCCCTCTTTATGTTGGACCCCAGACCTGGATGCAGGATTCCAGGTGGGATCTCACCTGAGTGGGGCAGAGGGGTAGAATTCCCTCATTTCCTGCTGCTCACTGTGGGACAAGCCCAGGACACGGGGAATTTCTGGGATGTGAGCACACATGGATGAGGCATTTCCAGCTTTTCATCCCCCAGCACCCCCAAAYCCTTCTCCTCAGTGCTGCTCTCGATCCCTTCATCCCCCAGCCCAGATTTGTGCTTGGAATTGTGCTGTCCCAGGTGCAGGATGTTGCACTTGGCTTTGTTGAACCCAATGAGCTGCCTCTGGAGCTTATCCTGGTCCCTCTGGATGCCATCCCATCCCTCAGCYACGTCACCCACACATTCCATATTTTCATCCAACACCATCCACCTCAGGAAGAGAAAAAGGGAAAAAAAAGCCCAGAATCATTTATGCTGGAAAAAACCTCCAAGATGAGTCCAACCTGTCACCAATCCCACCCAGCCCAGGGCACTAAGTGCCACATCCAGTCATTCCTTGGACACTTCCAAGGGATGGTGATTCCCATCACCAAAATATCTCATTGGATCTATTGGGAAGAGCTCAGGTGGGATTCCCAGGAATGCAAGGGAAGATGGTTTTTTTTTCCCTTTTTCTCCTGCTTTGGGACATCAGTGTCCAGAGGATGCTCCATCTATCYATCCCCAAACATCCCAGTATCCTCTGGAAAAGCTGATTTTTCTCTCCTTTCACCTCTAGAAGGAAAACACTGACATTTCCAGGATGAAAACTATACAGGAATTCTGTTCTGTATCCAAATCTGCCCCCATCCTCCAGCCACCACCTCAAGGTCCTTGATGATGGAAAGGTTTGGGATGGAAGGGAACTTCTGAAGGTCATCCCAACCCTCTGCTGTGGGACAGAGCAGGGCAAACAAGGCGAGAGGAGCTTTGCTCCCAGAAAAATTCCATACTAGTGGGGAAAATAAAATCCCAAGGGATTTCCCTGCTCTTCCCAGACCCACCTGTCATTCTGATACACATCCATGCTGCTGTTGAGCTCTTCCAGCTCTTCCTTCAGGAGCTGAAGGTTTGAGTTGACGTAGCTCAGCTCCAGAGCCACAGTTTCCTTCACCTTGTGGTTGCTGGTGGCCCTACAAGAAACCAATGGATCAAAATTCCCTCTTTTTATCCAAAAGTTTATTTTTCCACTCCACATGGAGTTTTCCAGCCGTGCAATCCATGTGCATCAAGCCAACTCTTGGCACAGGGATTCCTCTGGTTCTCCATGTGATGATGGAAAGGTTTGAGTGGGAAGGGACCTCTGAGGGTTATCCCATTCCAACCCCTGCCATGGGACACCTTTCCCTATCCCAGGCTGCTCCAAGATTCATCCAGCCTGGCCTTGGACACTTCCAGGGATGGAGCAGCCTCAGATTCTCTGGGAAYTCCATTTCAGTGCCTCACCATGCTCACAGCCAGGAATTCCTTCCCAATATCCCATCTAACCCTGCCCTCTGGCAGTGGGAAGCCATTCCCTATGTTCTGTCCCTCCATACCTTATCCCAAAGTCCCTCTCCAGCTTTCCTGGAGTTCCTTTAGGCACTGGAAGGAGCTCTAAACCCTTCCTGGAATCTCTTCTTCTCCAGGCTGGACATTCCCATCTCTCCCAGGCTTTTAGGATTAGGGAAGTCATAGCATCCAGGTAAAGGCTGAGCCCAGGTAAAACTCATTGCAGTGCTGCATCCAGGAATTCCTGCTCCAGAGCCACTTTCCCCCTGTGCATTCCCACTTCCACCCCAGTGCAGCTCCAGCTCTGGCAGTGAGCACTCCGGCTGCTCCCCCATGCCAAATAAATGGTGGGATTTGAGGAGAAAAAACTCATTTCTGGGTGCAAAGAATCCTYCTGGAGGAGAAGGGATTTGCTGAGTTCCCCCCTCCCCTTCTTTCCCTGCTCCCAGCAGGAGCTGTAAACATCAGGGATTGATTCCAGCTGCCTGTTCCCAGCAGGACAAACTCCCAGGCTGATTATTCCCCTCTTATCTGTGCTCCAAAGGAAAGCAGGGRGAGATAACCCGGAGCTGAAAGGGGGTCTGGCTGCTGAACCACACTGGGATTCAGGGAAAACAATCCATGGATGAACTCTGCTCCACCAGGAAACTGCTTCCCTCCAGCTTTTCCAGAGAATTGCCTTTGACGTGGATTTTTTATGGACTGAGTTYTTCTGGGTCTTGCCCTGTCCTGGCTCAGGGCAGGAGAAGAAGCTTCAGTGTTTTCCTTTGGAAATCTGGTTCAGAATCTCCTCCTTCCTCCCCTTTGCTGGGATTTCCCAAGAGCAAGGAATTTTTTGATTCAAAACCAACAAAGCCAAACCACAGCACATCCAAAGTTCCCCACGGCTGCCTCCATTGAAAAATCCTTTAGCATTCCTGCAATTCCCCAGGCAGCATCAACACCTCTTTCCACATAAACCAGTATTTGATCCCTATAAATAAGGTTTTAATTCCTATTTATCCTCAACACATCGCAACACCTCCAGACACATCACTACTGTTGGTAAAATTAACATCCCATATGGATTAAAGGGAATTTTCCCCTTCTTGTTCCTAGCTGGAAACAATTTCTTTGGCTCTCAGCAGTCCCCTGATTATTTTCCAGGTGTCTTAGCACAGTTCTCAGCAGGATCTGCTCCATGATTTTGCCCAGAATCTGTCACCAGGAAACTGTTATCTTGGGGCACTTCGCAAGTGCCACACACAGCAAATAATCCTGGAATTGGTTGGAAAGGACTTCCAAAATCATGGAATTCCAACTCCTATTATGGACAGGAACACCTTCCCCTATCCCAGGTTGCTCCAAGCCCCATCCAAGTGGCCTTGGATACTTCCAGGGATGGGGCAGCCTCATCTTCTATGGGAATTCCTTTCTAGGGCCACACCACCCTCACAGGAAGGAATTCCTTCCCAATCTAATCCTTCCCATCTAATCTCACTGTATTCCAGTTTAAAGCCATTCCCTGTGTCCTGTCCCTCCATCTCTTGTCCCCAGTCCCTCTTCCACTCTCCTGGAGCCCATTTAGGCACTGGAAGGTGCTCTGAGGTCTCCCTGGATCCTTCCCTTCTCCAGGCTGGACATTCCCAGCTCTCCCAGCCTGGCTCCAGAGCAGAGGGGCTCCAGCCCTTGGAGCATCTCCATGGCCTCCTCTGCACTTGCTCCAAAATCTCCATGTTCTCCTGTGGTTGGATCCCAGAGCTGGATGCAGAATTCCAGGTGAGATCTCACCTGAGCAGAGCAGAGGAACAGAATTCCCCTTTTCCTGCTGCCCACACTGTGAGGACATGAGGAATTTCTGGGATTCATTTTGTGATTTATTTTCTTTCTTCCTTTCTTCCTTTCTTCCTTCCTTTCTTCCTTTCTTCCTAAGGACCTGGACATTTTTATCTCCCCCACTGCTTCACTCAATCCCAGTATTCAAACAGGAAAGGAAAAGATTTCCTCTGGCTCTTCCCATTTATTTACCCAGCAAACAAATCCACTGAGCAAACAGCACATGGATTTTTTTTTTTCCAACACTCCATTCCTGCCAACTTTTCCCAGAAAAGACATGGGAAAAGCTAAATAGGATTATTTTTTCTAAGCATTGGGCCAATTTGTTTTTAATGTTAGAGAGAAACACCCCAGCAAATTCCAGCTCCAAACTGCTCCAGGCTGGACAATCCACAGCTTTTTTTCCCATGTGCCATAAGCACCAGACTAAAAACCCAAAGRAATTTTATCCACATATCCCAAATCTTTAATTTTTAAGCAATAGCCTTTAGACTTGCAACATAATCCCCTCCCTCCTCCTCAGCTTTAATTTCAGGCTTGATTACTCCTGCTCCCCCCACCCAGATTTCCCAAATTTCGTAAGCTTGAAGCACCAGAATGCCGAGAAATCAACTTTATTCCTCGGCCAGATTTGTGGGAGGGAGGAAAAGTGGCTGCTCCAAAGGACACCCAGAGTGCTGAGCCAGCAGAAAAGGAGCCCCCTCAGTGCATTTTCCCTGATAATTAAGATGTGTTTTACATCCTATTTTTTCCTCACTCCCCCTTCCTGCAGCTCCAATTCCTGCTGTTTGCACCAAAACTGAGCTGGTTTCTGCTGAGGCAGCACATTTCCCTCTGTTTTTTGTTTAAATATAACAYGGAGGAGTGGCAGAAGTCAGGATTTCATGGCTTATTTTCCTTAATTAAATGAGGCACAATAAAGGACAGAGCAGTGGGATGTCCTCATCCCCCAGGAAAACATAATTTTTTTATGGATCAATCATTATCCCCTTCTCCCAGGTACAACAGGAACAGTTTATTGTTGTTAAATTCTTCCAGTTCAGGAGTAAAAAGCCRATTTTATTTTATGTGGGATAAAAACAATCAAAAAACTGGGAAAATACTCCCCAAAAAATTGTATTTTAAGGTAGGCTTATGGTATTTTTTTGTATTAAAGACCTGTCCAGCCTGGAATGTGCTCCAAAAAATAAGGGGAAAATGAAATAAACACAAGAGATRTTTAAAAAGGTCCTCCTTGGGTTAAAATTYRTGTGGATGTGGCACTTGGCAGTGCTGGGGGAAAAGCTGGGAAAAACCCAAAATCCTAAAGGAATTTTCTTACCTATTTAATCCTAAAGCTGGATTTCATGGAATGGTTTGGGTTGSATCTTCAAGAACCTCCAGTTCCACCCCCCGTCATGGGCAGGGATATCTTTCCCAATCCCAGGGTGTTCCAAGCCCTCTCCAACCTGGCCTTGGACACTTCCAGGGATGGGGCAGCCACAGCTTTTATGGGAAAAAGCTTTTCAGGGCCACACTGCATTCACAGGAAGGAATTCCTTCCCAATATCCCATGTAATCTCACTCTATTCCGGTTTAAAGCCATTCCTCCTTGCCCTGTCCCTCCATACCTTGTTCCCAGTCCCTCTCCAGCTCTCCTGGAGCCCCTTTAGGCACTGAAAGGGGCTCTGAGCTCTCCCTGGATCCTTCCCTTCTCCATTCCCAGCTCTCCCATCCTGGCTCCAGCCCTCAGAATATCTGGATTCACTCCAACATTTCCATATCCATTGGATTCCTCTGCGGGATTTTCAGGCAGGTGCTCTGCATTTCAAGCCCAACCTCAGTCACTCATTCATTCCCATCATTCCATCTGTTCCCATCCTGCTTTTTAACAACCTTCCACCAGCTGCAACATGGATATCAAGACTTTTTTCCCATCTCCAACCAAATTCCAGGGTAAGGGGGATGCTCARGGGAGCAGGACTCACCTGAAGAGGTTTTCTGCTCCTGCTCTCATCCGCATTTCCTTGTTGATCTGCTGGTTGATCCGGGCCCGGCGGTGCTGGAGTTTGCTGCGCTGGGTCTGGGCAAAGGGGTCACAGCCCTGCTGAGAGACAAGGGTGGGGTCTCATCCCAAATCAATATTTTGGGATTCAAAAACTCYATCAATTCCATAAATTGTGCACTTTCAGGGCTCACAGTCATGGAATGGTTTGRAGTGGAAGGAAKCTTAAAGATCATGGAAYTCCAACCCSTGCCAYRGGCAGGGACACTTSCACTATCCCAGRYTGCTCCAACCTGGCCTTGGACACTTCCAGGGATGGGGCAGCCACAGCTTTTCTGGGAATTCCATTCCAGGGCCTCAACACTCTGACAGGGAAGAATTTCTTCCCAATACCCCATCTAACCTTACCTTATTCCAAAAGCCATTCCCTGTGTCCTGCCCCTCCATCCCTTGTCCCCAGTCCCTCTCCAGCTCTCCTGGAGCTACTTTAGGCACTGGAAGGGACTCCAAGGTCTCCCTGGATCCTCCCCYTCTCCAAGGGAACATCCTCAGCTCTCCCAGCCCAGMTCCAGAGCAGAGGGGCTCCAGTCACCAGTGCACYTCCATGTCCTCCTCTAGAATTRCTCCAACATCMCCACATCCTTCTGCTGTTGGWCCCCAGMGCTGGATGCAGGATTCCAGGTGAGATCTCACCTGAGCRTGGTGGAATTTCCTCTTTCCTGCTRCCCACRTTGKGGGATGAGCCCAGGAGACTGGGAATTCCTGGGATGTGAGCACACATGGCTGGGTCATGCTGAGTTTCTCACCCCACCAGACTTTTCCCTGCCTTTGGAGTAACCATTGTATTCCCCAGCCTGACGTGCTGCTGACAGGAATTTCTTTCCCTGAGCTCCTCCCAAATGCAGCCACCAGTAGGAATTCCACAACCTCTTCCCAGGGTCTGGACACAATCCAAAACCCAGGAGGGGCTGGAGGTGAGCTCAGTATAACCCCAAAGCTCAGGAACAGATGTGATCCCAAGGCAATCTCCAGGAYATGGGGCACAGGGAGTCAGGAGTTCACAGGGATCAAGGAATGAGTTGCACACAGCACTAAATTGATTCCATCCTTCCCATGGCTCTGGCTCGGAATTTCAGCAGACAGGGAAAACATGTTGCATTCCCGACTTCAGGAAATAGCAGCCAGCAAATTTCCCTTTGGCTCACAGGGGCAAGGAGTTATTATGGGATGCCTCAGGGAATGGGGCTGCCATGAGGTGTGCTCCTGAATCCAGTGCCACAAAAGCTCTTCCCAAGCAGGGATGATTCCCATCATGCATGGGAAGATGTAGAGGGATGGAATGAGCCTCTGGAAGATCCCTGGCAAAAAAAATTCCCTGGTTATGAAGGTACAAGACTGGGAAGTTTAAGAGGATGGAAAGTCCTGAGCCTGCAAAGCATGGGAGGATTTCTCCAAGAACCTGGAATGTTTTGGGTTGGAAGGGACCTTAAGGATCATTGCATTCCAACCCCTGCCCTGGCTTCCCACAGAAATTGTGGATGACCCTAGAAGTGTTCCAGGCCAGGTTGGATGGGGCTTGGAGCAACSTGGGGTAGCAGGAGGTACCCCTGCCCATGGAATGGGATGATCTTTAATGCCCCTTCYAACCCAAACCATTCCATGTTTCTATGGAACACTTGATCATCTCTCCAGTGGGACCTGAAAAAATTTGCCTTTTAACAGAATTCAGCTTCCTTAAAATTAATTCCCCATATTTAATGTCCACCAAATGTTGCCTCCTTTGGAAAAGGGTCTGGGATTAACATTGGGATTTTCATTTAAGGGAAAGATTGGAGCTGCTAATTGACACTTTAGAGACTGAGGAATCAGAGTGACTCCAGCTGGTCCATAAATCTCCAGGATTAATGCTTTGCACTAATCCATGAATTTGATGGAAGGAACAAGCTGGAAGCACRAGATCCCAATTATTCTGGAAAAGCAATTCAGTGGGATTTGAGGAAAACACCCCGATAGCTGCAGGAATCTCGGATCTAAAAGGAGATCCACTCAGGAGGAAAACCAGGGGCAAAAAACAAGGAAGTTTGATCCAGAAGTGTCACCTCTGGATCTGTCCTGAGGGGAATCCACCCATCCTGTGTGGTCTCCCTAGGAAAAACAAAAATCTAGAAATCAGAAGAAAAAGCAGAAAGGATGAGGAACCCAACCCAAGATGTAGAGAGAAGCTTCTTAAAATTTTAATGTTTAATTAAAAAATTCTATAGAAGATTTCTGACAGCGTGGCAGATTCAGAGACAAGTGTGTATGCAAATATACCCAAATATATGCAAATGAGGCAGCTCCAGGCTCCCTCTCTTTGCCTCAGAAATCCACGCAAAGCTCCACAGATGGGAAGTTTCTCCAYCTCCAGCTCTTCCTGCAGGAGATTCCAGCACCTTGGAGTCCTTTCCACCTCTGCCAAAGGTTAGTTTGGAAGCAGCCAGAGGGGTTAAAGGGATTTTTGGCGGGGAAAGAAGCAAAAACCACACGGATATGCAGGGAAGAGGCCTGGGAAGTGGAATGATGGATGGGATGATGGAAAAGGCACAAGTGGAGGGATTATCCAAACCCACAGGGAAGGTCTGGAGGAAAAACATTTGGAATGAAGGGAAAAAAGAACTGGGATGCAGAAGATACTGGGATGACTCCTCAGGATATTCCAAGAGGTTAAAACCTCTTCCCTGYGGGAGCCATGAAGGGATTTAGAAAATTGATTTGACTTCTCCTGCTGGGAAGCACTAAAGCTGTTTCTGGGGCTGCGAGAGTTTTTTGCCCTGGCTTCTCCATCAGATGTAATGGGATAAATCCTCAATCCCTATCCAGACTTCTAAGCCAGCAGCAAAAAGATGCTGGAAAACCAGGAGGAACTGACATCAACCCAAAGCCTTGTGAGGTTAAGTCAGGAATTCAAGATCAAGGATTGCCTGTGATCTCCGCACATTTTGTTTTCCTCAACAGGAATATGGGATTGCTGTGAATCTTCCCTTGAGAGGCTCTGCCTTGATCCCAAAATATAATCCCTGGCTGGCATGGATCAATACAAACATCATTCCATGTGGAATAAAAAAAGCCCCATCTGCAGGAGCATCACAGCAATATCGTAATTCCACAAATCCTGGAGCAAGAAGGAAATTTGTGTCCAGGAAAGTAGAAAAGGCCACCTTTAAATCCAAATACAAATAAGGAAAATAGGGAGGCAAGGGAAGAGCATTCCACCTTCCAACAGTTCAAAGGATCCCAAAGCTTTTCCTGTCYGAGTTCCAACTAAAAACCACAGAACAAGTTTCCAGGGATTTAARCATGACTTGCATAAGGGGGAAAACAATCCCACCAAAATCCCATGTTCGGTTCCCAAAGGGATTTTCCTGGATTAATTCTTATTTGCTCAACCTCTTGAGGTCACCCCTGTAAGATCAGAAGAAAGAGGGTTTTTTTTCATCCAGGCTTTGGGGTGCACCTGGGGACACCAGGAAAAGGGAATTTGGGGATTTAAGAAGGGGGTCTGGAAAAAATTCAGACTTTTCCTTCCTGGTTTAAAGGTTTTAAAGGAAAAGCAAGCACAGAACYCTTCCATAARTTGYGCAGAAGCCAGRGAACAGCAGCTTATTTTGTACACARAGAAYGATGGATCAAAAAGCTGTGGAAATGAGTAAGGTGTGGCCAGCCCTGAAGTTTATCACCTGTGACAAAGCAGGATTAGGGTCGAGAATTGGACTCTGTGATTCCAACAAGTCCATTCCAATCCACATCCTCTGATTTTATTGGAAAAAGGGGATTTATTTCCAGAAAAATCAGTCAATTCCCACAGTATCCAAACCTCRGCACAGGGATGTGACAACAGAACCAAAAATCCTCCTCCAGGGTCTCCACAGGAGGAAAAAAAAATTCCAGAAGACCCTTTCCAGGGGGAATCAAAACCAACAGCTCACCTCTGAGGGCCAGCAAGGATTATCCAACCTTATCTTTGCAGGGAACACTTGGACTGACCKGAGGGCATTTTCCACTTCCAGATACCTCTCCCAAGTCCTGAGGGCCCATCTGGGGTGCCCAATAGRGCAATGACGAGGCCTTAGGGAATGTTTGCTCAGGGTGCACTTTGAACTTCCCACCCCCAGGAGCTGAAAACTTGAGTGACTCCTAGATGACAGCCGCACCCTGAGAGCGATTTGTGACCTCGGTGACAAAAACAYAGACTCAGATTCCCGGTTTTTCAACACCAGGGACAAGCTGAATCACCTGGAGGAAAAGGTGGAGGCCAGCAAGTCCAAAGGGTAATTCCATGACAAAGGGATTGATTCCCGCTCCTTTGTGTTGGAAGCGAAAATGAAGGGAGGGGGAAATGTAGGAAGGGAAAACAGGATTTTTGGAAGTGCTGATAAAATTTCAAGGAAGGGAGAAATGGAGATGCAGATCCAGGTTCCTGAGGAACTGGCACAGATCAGGAATGTGCTGGTAACAGCCAGGCACGGATCTTCCCAGAAAACTGAGGAAGGGRTTGGTAGCTGGGATTTACAGCCCCAGCAGGAATTGCAAGAAAAGCTCCTGGAAATACAGGGAGAACCTGGCTGCATCCCAGAAGCTGCTCCACAGCTGCCCAAGCCTGGACCAAGCTGGGCCACGTCCAATCCCAGTTTTGGCCACAAAAGAGTCACCACCGGGATTCTTCCCCATTAGGGAGGCCCGGGAATGCCCAGAGAGAAACTGAGGAAGTTTAATTTGCAGGGAGACTCGAGACATCCATGATGTGGGAAGAGGAGTCATCGCCAGGTGCTGAGCTCAGCKCCACTGCCAGCCCCACCTCCAGGGAGACACCTTCCCATTCCCAAGGTCAGGGAAGGAAGGGAAGCAGGACTTCAGCCAGCCTGGATCACTGCCAAGGGCGTGGTAAACACACCGAGACCCTTTGTGCCAGGAAAAAGGATGTAGAAGGGATGACAAAATTATGGGATGGTTTGGGTTGGAAAAGAGCTTCAAAGTAATGGAATTCCACTCCTTGACATGGGAAGGGACACATTCCACTATCCCAGGTTGCTCCAAGCCCCATCCACCATGGTCTGGAACAATTCCAGGGATGGAGCAGCCACAGCTTCTCTGGGAATTCCATTTCAGGGCCTCACCACCCTCACAGGGAATAACTTCTTCCCAACATCCAATCCAATCTCACCCTATTCCAGTTTAAAGCCATTCCCCCTTGTCCTGGCACTCCCTTGTTCCAAGTCCCTCTCCAGCTCCCCTGGAGCCCCTTTAGGCTCTGGAAGGGGCTCTGAGGCCTCCCTGGATCCTTCTCTTCTCCAGACTGGACATTCCCAGCTCTCCCAGCCTGGCTCCAGCCCCTGGAGCATCTCCATGGCCTCCTCTGGACTCGCTCCAACAGYTCCAAATCCTTCTGCTGTTGGACCCCAGAGCTGGACCATGATCCAGATCCCAACTCCATCCACTGGGCCTATGGGCTGTGGCTCCAACCCCAATCCATTAMATTTATCCCAGAAAACACCTCCAACATCTCCCACACCAAAAAAAAACCCCAAAATACCGACAAACCGAAACAAAACAAAACAAAAAAAAAAACCAAACAAAAAAACCCCAAAAAACACAACCAGGGATTTATTTCCATCCCCTCTCAGCAGCACCAACATTTCCTAACAGGGAAGTTTTTCCCCAAACAGTGAGTTTCCAAGGGCACAGATGATCCAGCAGCTTAGAAACCCGGAACAGGATAACTCTGAGCACCTGTTTTATTTACACTGATCCCTAAATGATTTTCCCAGAGTCAGAGCTGTCAGCCAGAATTTTTATTCCTCTTTGGAATCCACAAATTTTTGAGTCAGACCAGCACAGGAGAAGTGGCCAAGTGACCCTGCTTTAGTCACATTATCCCATGGGACAGAGAGCAAAACAAAAGCCAGGGAACCACTCCACACACAAAAACAGGCTTGGAAATTCTCCTTTTTTTCCCCAGGATTATCCAGAATTTCCTTCCTTTTCCAGCCAAAAGTATTTAAGACATTAATATGAGCTGTTACGAGACAAGCAGGAGGTGACAACAAGTGGGTTTTTACTCCCTGAAAATCTATTTAGAAAGGAAATTCCCTATCATGGAATTAATCTCATGGAGCACCCTGGCTCCAAGCTGGGTTTCTGTGAGAGACAGGAGCAGCTAAAACCTCTAAAACCTTTTATTGAGAATATGGTTACATCACAGAGCCTTTGAACAAATGAGGGGAGGATTAAGGTTTTAAATTTCCCAAGTGGCCTCATTGGTGGTTCATGCAGTCAGCAAGAGGAAGGAAAAATAAACCCGGGGGTGGGAAGAAAAATCTGGGGGATTGGGGGTTCTAGACAGCACAAACTGCAGCTAAAAATTGAATTTTAGGATGGTGAAAGTGCTCTGGGAAGGTGGGGGAGGCACAGAGTCAGGGCAAGGTGCCAGCAGGAAACAGGTGGATTAAATCTTCACTCCTAGGACAGAAAACTTGGCAAAGAAAAAAGAAATAAAAAACACTTTTTCAGCAGCATTCAGGATCTCCTATGAGGGAGAAAATACAGATCCACACTCCTGATGTTGTYAGGGTTATATAAACAGCAGGAAAAGGTTGCATTGATAACGTCTCTTAAATAATAACAATAACAAAGGCAAACTAAGAGATCTGATCAGGTGCTRTGCTGTTTAATTAAAAAAATAATCATGTTATGATAGAGGCTGCTGATCCCTTGCCCAGCTCCCCCCTCCAAAGCTTGGCAATATTTTCCACGTTATCCTTTGTGCTCAGGATCCAAACAGAGTAAGTTAGGAAAAAAAATCCAAAATCCCTCCTGTTAATCTTCCCTCACGAGCAGCACCTGCTCTTTAGACGAGGCCCTGAGTTAAACCCCGACCTGGTTTAAGGTTGCAACCTCTTGAGCTGCAGCCCAGGCTCAAGTGACTCCAGATCAGATTGATCCAGGGGRAAAAAAAAAAAAATCCYTTCCAGAGCATGGCTGAGATTGGATTTCTGGGTTATTTAGGATTTTTTTTTTAGGGGGGATCTGTGTGTTGGGATTTTTTTGCTCTTGTGGAAATAAGGGATTTGTAAAGAGAGCTCAGATTATGGAGTGAACTCGCTGCTGGTTTATCCCATTGGATTTCAGGGGAAAACTAACGGGAAACACACTTAAACAGCCCCAAAAGAATATTTTCCATGTTTTCTTGTTCCCAAAAATCTCTTTGACCCCAAGAGAACAGGGAAGAGTGACACCTGAGGACTGATTCCCACTGATTCCATCCCACAATTCCTAATTAAACAATGACACCAAGCAGAGCAATCAGCCCCATCTCTCCTGTACATCCCAACTTTCCTTAGGAGCAGCTCCTGAGGGAAAAACTCAGGGAGCACCTTTGGGAGCAAGGAGAGGGACAGGGTGCACCTGGCTRGACCATCTTCCTGCAGGCAGGAAGGAGGAAAAAAGCCAAAATATCGGTGAAAACAATCATTGGGAAGCTCAGAGATGGAGACAGAAGAAAAGGTGGGATTCAGGAGTGGAGTTTTAGGGATGAGGAGCTAAGAGGGAGCTGTTTAGGGCCGTTTATAGGGCAGCAATCACATTTCCACCTCCAGCAGGATTGTGTGTCCCTGCACCCCCATCCATGGGGACAACCATCCCTATGGAGAGGACAGGGATATGGAGGCAGCCCCATGGAGCAGCTGAGCCCATCCCAAGCCCACCAYGGCCTCACCTTCCGTGTGCTGCCACTCTTCGGGCTGTGCAGGAGGACAAGGCCACCGTCCCTGTCCCCATCCGGGCTCTCCTCCTCGGGGGGCATCATCTCCAGGGATGTGACATCCACAGGCTGGGAATGGGGGCCTGGAGCTGGGGGGCTCCTGCTGGACCTCACGGGGGGTGCTGGGGGCTCGGTGACCCCTYCTTTGGTCCCACACTGGTCCAGATCCCAGACCTGTCCTAACTGGGGGTTTCAACCCCCTCTAAGCCCGGCTCTGTTGTGCTGAAAAACCCCCTGCTCTTAACATCTGGCCAGATGTGAGCCGACGGCTTCCTCCAGTAGGGATAACCCAGATAAAAGAGGGGGGCACACAAACCCCACAGAGCCCCTTTATAAAGTTACCCAGACTGAGGGGATGTTAAATACCCSCAAAGGCTAAATAGAGGATGTTTAAATTCCCCCACAACCCACTTGAAGGACTATGCTAAATAGGGGGAAGAGGGAGACGAATCCCTCTAAACTTCCCTTGCAGAGCAACCCTAAATAGGGAGTTGTTTAAACCCTTACAAACTTCCCCTGACAAGAGTTACTTTAAATAGCAAGGGGGRGGKTWAAMCCCCCCCMAAACCCACCTTATAGAGACACCCGGGTGAGGAGAGAGTTAAACTCTGAAAATCCCTTTATGGGGCTATCCCAGATAGGGGGAACCCCCCAAACCCCCCTTGCAGAGCTACCCTAAATGGGAGGGGGGGGGAAAGTTTAAACCCTTTCAAAACTCTCTTGGCAAAACTCCCCTAAGGAGAGAGGGTTTAAACCCACTTTGCACAGCGATCCCAGACAGGGTGGGGGAGTTAAACCCCTCTCCCCTCGCAGCGTAAACCCCCCAAAAATCCCCCTCAGGGAGATGCTCCAGCCAAGGGGACCCCCAGCGAACTCCCTTCCAGAGCCAAACCCCACCGCCCTACAACTCCCCACCCTTWTCTCGTGCAGACCCCACCCCGGAGTGCCCCGGGACCCCCGGCCGTGCCCCCGCTCACCCCCGGTGCCCCCTCAGGCCCCGYCGGCCCCAGAGCGATCGCGGCAGCTCCGCCGAGCGCGGGGCATAAGCAGGGAGCGGGGGCAGGGCTTAAYCGCCAGACAGCCAATGGGAGAGCGGGACGGCGCTGATGGACAGCACTACTGCCCAATGGGAGTGAGGGGTTGGGAGGGGCGGTGGGGGGGAGGAGCGGAGGGGCCGTCGCCCGTGGCAACGGTGGGAATTAGAACGCGGGTGACGTCACGAGAGGGGCGTGGCTCTAAGCCCCGCCCACAAGCGCGGCTGTACCTGGGTGGCCCCGCCCCGCTCCACATCTGGGTGGGCTCCGATCCSCGTCCGCACACATCTGGATGGTCCCCGCTGAAATAAGGGGCACTTTCCCCATCCCGGCCACATCTGGATTACCTCCAACTCCAGCCAGGCGTCCACGCGCCCAATCCGGCCACATCTGGATGACCCTCACCTCCAAAGAGCTGCCGCCCCCACCATCCCGGCCACATCTGTATGACCCCCACCTCCAAAGAGGTGCCCCCCCCTCCATCCGAGCCACATCTGGATGACCCCCACCTCCAAAGAGGTGCCTCCCCCTCCATCCTGGCCACATCTGGATGACCCCACCTCCAAATAGGTGCCTCCCCCACCATCCCAGCTACATCTGGGCAAGTCCCCACTCCCTGTCTCACATCTGTGTGCTCATCCGTTCCCAACTCGGCCACATATGGGTGACACCACACCCAGCCATGAGCACCCTGCCCTCCCCTCAACCCAGCCACATCTGGGCCACTCAGTTTCTAACCAGGTGTCCTCTCTCTCCCCACTGGCCACATCTGGGTGGTCCCTCCCTCATTCTGCCCCTACAATCCCTGCACCATCATCCCCCCGGCTTCCCCCTCCTCAACATCTGGGCTGTTGTGCCCTTGCCCTGGATGCTGCTCCTGTACAAACTATAATTTGGTATCAAATACAATAAAAATAATGAAGATGTAGAATCAAATCCACTTTATTACTCTTTCCAGGCAAATCCTGCCCCRTTTTCCCACTCTGAGCCATTGTCACTGACCACAAAAAGGTCTCTGAGTCTTTACCTGGGCYATAATGAAGTTATTAAGCGATGGGACACAAGGAATATCAATGGGACACAKGGAATTCTGTGTGGATCCAGCTGTTTATTGAGTGGAAAATGTTAGCCCAGGACACATGAAATATTTTACAGGGTTATGTAGGATTTATAGAGTTATATATATATATAGGATTTATTTTATAATTGCATTTATCAAACCAGTTCCACCTTTCCCAGTTGTTTTTTCTCATCAGGGCTTTGAGGATTGTGTGATCCCAGGGAAGGACTTTCTCTGTCCCTCCTGGATTTCCCAATCCAAAAGGAACAGCTGGACCAGGAGGGTGGCATTACTGATAAATCTGGAATATTGTCACTGACACAAGTCCAACAGCTGCTGTGGTGTCCCCAAATAGTGCAGGGATCCCATTCTGGTCCAGTTTTCCCTAAGGATGAGCCAAACCCTCTTTTGCTCCATGTTTCCCAAGCAGAGCTCTGGATGGAGCCATCCCCTTCCTCCCATTACAAAGAGCATCTATGAAGGGAAAATCCATAAAAATGGACAAAACTCAGATTAATTTTCTAAGGGATTTAATCCAGGTTATGCTTGGAAGGGAATGATGAGCCAACAGGAGCTGCYCCAGAGTAGGACATATTTTTTCCAACTCACATCCCTGCAAACCCCATCTTTTCCCATCACAGACCCAAAAAACTTGGGAGAAACTTTCTCCAAGCTGAATAAATCTGAAAATGCGAAGAATTCAAACTTGAGCTGTTCTTGGAAGGAGGCGGCCAAGGGTGAACAAGCCCCGGCTTGAAGTTGTCCCTCCCTGGGGCTGGCTCCCATCCCTGGACAACTTCTACTCATCCAGCCAGAAAGGTGGCTTGGATGCATTTTTCCTGGGATGGCGCAATGGGGATCAAAGAGGTTTTCCCAGAGCCAGCCCTTCCTGCGGGGTTTCCGCTCCCGGCCGCGAACCGGGCGGGACCTTCCCAGGGGAATGCGGAGCCCCCACTATTTGTCCCTGTTTGGGATTCCACATGGAGCCGTGCCTTTTATTGACCCAAATCCCAGGGTTTTTTTGGAATTATGGAGTGGTTGGGGTTGGAATGGGCCTGAAAGATCATCCAGTCCAACAGGCAGGGAAAGCTTCCACAACACTAGGTTGATCCAAGGCTTTGGACACTTCCAGGAATGGGGCAGMCTCAACTTCTCTGGGGTTTTTATTCCAGGGCTTTACCACCTCACAGAGAGTAATTTCTTCCCAATATCCCATGTAACCCTGCCCTCTGGCAGTGGGAAGCCATTCCCCATATCCTGTCTCTCCATCCCTTATCCAAAATCCCTCTCCAGCTCTCCTGGAGCCTCTTCAGGCACCAGAATGAGCTCTGAGCTCTCCCTGGAGCTTTCTTTTCTCCCCCATCTTGGGAAAAGCTTTTTCCCATTGTCCTAATTCCCCCATCCCTTTCCCAGGTGCGCTCCTTACACCTGTTTTGGGATGGATGAGGACTTTGGGACCCTCAGCTGAGATGAGGTTCTTGATGACATCAGGGCCAAGTGGAAGCAATGAACTCATCCCATGAAAAGGGCTGGAGAGGAATTGGATGGGCTTTAGGATGAGGGTTATGGGCAGTAGGATCTGGTGGGATTTGGGCTTTGCTCCCAGGCTCAAAGGCTTCTCCATCTCCAACCATGGAGCTCTGATGGATAAGAGGCAGCTGAGCAAAAACAGATTTTGGGATTAATTTAATGATGTAATTGAAGAGGGAGCATCTCCCACTAAGTAAGTTTTTCCAAACTATTGTAAAATCCCTATTTTTGGCCCCATTCTCTGCCTCAGTGGTCCAGAGTATTTTCCCCTGCTGGATCTCCTTGCTGAGGGGTTGCTGGTTGAGGGACATTCCCAAACTTCAGCTTTTGGGCTAAAACTTCATTTCCCAGGGTGCAACTTGAGCTGGGAGCCTCCAATTGGGCTGAGGGAGACTTTAAAGAGGTTTCATGGAGAGAGGGGATTTCTTTTGGGGAAGCAGCTGGGTAAGGAGTGAGGTCTCCAGGCTGGCTGGGATTGAGGACGTTTTCCTGAGCTGACTGAGCTTGGCCCCAACTATAGCTCTAAGTGCTCCTGGAACAGCAAAACCTGGTAAAATGTGGAGGTTTTCCAAGTGTTTTCTACTCCTAGAAAAGTTTTCAGGATGTTTCATGCTGGTTTTCACTTCTCCCCTTCAGAAATCCCCATTCTTCCTAAATGTGGAGGATTTTCATGGATAGGGACCAGGAATATGATCTTTATTTCTTGTATCTTGTTGAGTTTCTTAGGAAAGCAGGGATTTGGGAGAGTCTGGCTGCTCCAGCCATGAGAACAGGAGAGGGAAGAGGTGGTGTTGGGGGGGGACTCCATATCCCAATTCACCCCATTTCTCTGTTGTGCTTAATTATTGCTAATTATGGCAGTGGAAGCTGTGAATTTCTGAACAATTTGGGGAAATTTTCTCTTCTTTCCTTTTATTTTCTTTTGTTTGACCAACTCCAACAGAGGTTTAGGGATAAAGCTCAAGGATTTTCCATGTTTTCCTCACCTCGGGTATTCTTTAAAGCTGAGCTGCGGAATCCGAACTTTAGGATTGGATGTTTGGGTTTCCTTGGAGAGCAGAATCAGGGTGGTACCAACTCTGTGTTGTTTCCATCTTGTTCCAGTGACCATTCTTGGGGACTCTGCTGTAACATTCCCAAAAAATTGTGGATGACGGAGCCATGGGGGTCCCAAAAGCCAGTGGGGTGAGGAAAAGCAGCAGGTGGGTACTGTGGGGTGTGGTAGGGGATTTGGGGAGGCTCCAGCTTTATCCCACAGGTTCTCCTGGTAATTTCATCCCTCAAGCAGAAAAATTCCTCCAAAATTCCCTTTGGGAGTCCATTTTTGGTGCTGCTGGGTCTAAGGATTAGGAGGTATGGTATCATGCCGTGGTTTTTCTCACAACCATGGGGTTGGTTTCAGTGGGATCAATTTTTCCTTGTCCCAGGAAGCGAAAGAACGAGTTGGAAAAGGGGCAGGATGAGCCAGAGGGGCTCCTGGTGAAGAAGAAAAAGAAGGAGGAGCTGGAATGCACAGTGAAGGTAAAAATAACCCCTCTGTGTATTGGGACTGTCCTGAAAATTTTGTTGGAATCAAACCCATGGCATGAAGTTCCTTTTCCCTTACCTTCCTCTATTCTGCTGCAAAGCCTTCCATAGTAAAACAGAAGAAGAAAAACCCACCAGAAGTCAAGGAAAAGCCATTGCAGGAGAACATCATCAGCAGGTAAATCCCTGGATTGGGGTGGAGAAGGGATCTGCAGGGCTGGGCTTTTCCATCTGGGTTTATCCCAGAATTGTGCATGGGAATGCCCGGTTCAACTCCATTTTCCTTGCGCTCCTTTGATTATAAAAGGATTTTTTAATAGGGAAAAATAAGGGCAGGTAATGATGGGAAAAGGGGGAATAGCTTTAAGCTGAAGGATGGAAGGTTTAGGGTATTGGAT